GCGGTCAGATGTGGCACAAGGCCGAATTTAACGTGGGGTATCCGAGCCTGTAGTCTCGGGCAAAAATTCCCCATAGACCCTGTTAAAATGGGGTCGGGTAGCTGTCTACCACCCCAGACGAGACTCTGCTCTTCGGCATAGCCTCGTTTGGGTTCCTCTCTGCTCGAAGGCAGAGAGTTCGACTAGCTTAGCTAGAGACGAACGAAAAAGAGGACGAGGCAAGAAATCGCCCAGTATTTATAGTGTAGGGAGAGCGTCCCCTAGTGAACAATTTGGACAATTAAGGAGGAGTTAACTCCGACAATAGTAAAGATGGTAACTGGCCCTTGTCATACCACAAAACGTACTAAATGTCCTTTTCACTGAGGTAATGTTTTATGAGGTAGATATTTTTTTCATATCAGGATGATTTTATTTTTTCAATTTAATTGGGTGTGTGGGTTTTGTGTATGTTTTTAGTGTTATAGAGATGTTTTATTTTAGTGTTATAGAGATGTTTTATTTTCCGAACATAGTGCGAATGAAAAGATAAAATCATCCTTGATAATGGCTAAATAGCTGAAAGCGCTCAGAATTATAGAACATTTGGACAGTTTCTACACACACTGTGTCTAAAAAAGAAAACACTTGTTCGAACACAAAAAAAAAAAATTAAATAGAAAGCTTAATCGTAGTACCTTGTCTGTCGTCTTTAATGAAATACACACACACAGATATGTGTGCATTTAGGCAGCAAATGTTCTTTAAGGCAAATATTAAAGCAACAGACATTTTTTGTGTTGATTAATTTTAATTTTTAATAATCAACGTTGCCAAATAATGAATAATCCTATCTTATGTCATCATCGTCTCTACACGATAGTGAGTTTCATAGAACTAGTGAGTGTTGTAAACGAAAGTGAGGTGTGATGTGTATGTTTTTTTTTTTTTCATATACAGGGTGATCCGAAAGTCTTGTCACAAAATGAAAACGTAACGAGAACAATAGAACAAGTAATACAATAAATACAAAGCCCATGTACTGGATTCAGTTTATTCTCTTTCATTGATGCTGTTACACACCGAGAATGTCCTTCTCAGCTCCTTAACCCTTCACCAGGGGTCTCTCTCCCCTGGCTACAAATACTGGCTGACCCTCCGCCTCGATCTCTCCTTTTCCCTCAGGCCTTGGGCCTTATACCACCTCGCAGATGTGAGCTCTCACAGATACAGCGTTTCCCAAATTCTGGGAACACGCTAAGAACAACACACGGACGTACGAACACTCACCACACACACACACACACACACACACACACATAATATTCACCACACGCACTCAATATAACTGTCAATGTGCTTGTAACTTGTACTTGTTGTTAATACATATATTTATTTACATATATTTATCGGTTTTGTTTGTTTTCCTTTGGACTTAATTAAAGTCCAATATTCTCGTGTAGCTGGGCTGGCTAACAGGAAATTCTACCCACATGTGTTCTTCTACAATACATCACCCCAAAGTCCGCTACATCTGTATGAAGACCATCATCTTCGTGTCAGCCATCTTAAATAAATAGAAAATTATGTAGAGGGTGACAATACTTTCGGACCACCCTGTACATTTCAAAATGCGGGTTTATATATATATATATATATATATATATATATATATATATATTATTTCAAACGTTATTTTTAGTAGATATCCATATTTGAGTGGACGCTCTGCTTATTTTAAACAGTATTTATTTCGTCTACTGGCCTACATAGAAAATAACGTTTCTTTAATAAAAAATATGTTGGATTATAAAATAAAATCCATTTAAACTAAGCACAACTATTAAACGATGGAAAAAATTGTGGATTTTGGCGTTATTTTGGGGTCTTTCTTTCGTTCAAATTCGTGAATTTGTTTTCCTTATGCTAAGTCTCGAAAAATCTATGGTACGAGGCCCTTCAATTGTTGATACCCCCTGACGAGTGCACGGAATGATTCCCGGGGTGTCCATCTACGAAACTCTGGAGTCGGGATTCTGAAAGGTAACATCAATCGGCTAAGCGACAAACCTTTCATTTGTATTAACTAGAGAGAAATCATAGCGAAAAGTTGTGAATATGTTACGATTGTATTGTATGAAAAAGGCTGACAATTTAAATTATGCTCTTCTGAAGAAGAGTTGTTAGCCAGTTTGAATTAAGGTAAAATAGAGTTGTTTTTCTTTTGCTAATTTAATCAAATTGACTATGTATATCATTTTTATTTACAGTTGATTCTCTTCTCTCCATTAGGTAACAGTAGTAACACAAAGATAAAGTTTTCCCTTCTCACGGAATATTTCCTTATTTTATTTGTTTGATTTTGTTTTTTCCCACCTGTTAACTTGCTTTTTCTGCCATTTTTAGACTAGGCGGGACACTTACAGATTATTCTGTAAATATATTGTTGCGGAGCCGATAAGGATGTCGCCTCCACAAGCTTTTGGAAAAAAAAAGGTGTGAACAGCCAAGACAATGAGGGGACAAAGGCAGAGGTTTAAAAAACAATAAACGTCGATTTTATTTATCCAAAATGTACAAGAGTGTACTGATGGAGAAATATGTTTGAATCAGTGTCGGGTCCGGTATGACTGGTTTCCTTCAGAGGAAGATGATTCAGTTGTATCGGCGAAACGAGTGTATAGTTGATCGGCGGCGGTAGCTCGTCAACTGCCGGATGGGAGAACTGTCGGCGACAGCAGTTAGTTGATTGATGACGAACGAAGAAGTCGGTGTAGTGATACGACTATCGCGCCGAAGTGTAGCACTTGACGAAGTCCCTAAACAGGGCCGAGTCAGAGTAGTGATACGACTTCCAGGGCGAATCAACCACGTAAGCGGGATCGCGCCGAAGTGTAACACTTGACAAAGCTAGTGTCAGGTGATACGTCTTCCAAGGCGGATCGACCGCAGAAACAGGATCACGCCGAAGAGTATTCTCTAAGGTAGCGTACTACACTTTGATTCAGCCCCCCCCCCCGCAAGCTGAGCTGGGTTTGGACGAAAAAAAGGGCTAACAATATGTGGAACTATTTGTTCAAGTACTCCCTGGCTAGAGGGAGTAGAAAACCGTAGATATAAAATTACTCCCCATGTTGTTCAATCTGTTGCGGATGTGTGTTGGAGATGAATAGAAGGTTTGAATTATCAGAAGGCTTAAAATTGTGTGTGTTCAATAATCTTCCGTCCACAACAATTAATACAAGACATAGAATAATGATTCATAAACATCTTGTTTCAAAACGTAACAATTGAATTTATTAATATTTGATATACATGCATGAATACTGAGTGAAAAGGTTAGACAGAGTTGTGTCTCTTAGATTAGGTAATATTTGTACCTAAGTTCATAAAGTGAAAGTAATTATTAAACTGTAGTTTAGATGAATAAGGTTCCTTTAGCATGTTTGGAATTGTGTATTGTACAAGTTGGTAAAAGTTCAGAAGAGATTTTAGAGTTCGTACTTGCGTGAATGTTGGTAATGGTCTTTAACGTCTGACTGCATTAGTTAAGACGGGAGTTCTTGAAAGTTACATCTTGGTAGCAAGGAGAAAGATGAATGAAAAGAAACAATATTTATTGCTGTAAATACAAAAAATGTGACACAAGGCCAAAAAGGGGGCTGGGGAAAAGGACGGTCATCACTTGTCTTAATATAAAACTTAGCTAGCCACAACCACTGACCCTATCATATTAAACAATACTCCTATCAGCAAAAGAAACAACCGGGAGTTTACACGTGTTCTGTTTTTATAAGGTCGTGTATCACGTGGGAGGCTCCGAGCATATTGAGCGGGAAAACAGATTGGTCACGTGCAGGCGGTTTGATTGGTCGGAACTGACCAATCAGCAAGCTAGATTGAAGTTTATTGACCGATGAATACTTGTTATATATTTTGTAAGATTGTGATGGTGAAAATTATAACAAGAATAGTGCATTTCCTAGCAGGGGTTAACTAGCTTGTTGTGGAAGAGTCCACAAAATTGTAAATATGGGTTAAGTTAGAATTTTCGAGGAGAGAATGTGACATTTTTGTGATTGCTGCAAATATGCGATGTTATACTAACGAATGAAACAAAATAAAAACAATGGAAAGTAACCTCCGGTTTTGTGTCAGATTTCTTTTTATGTGCCGTGTCCCTTCAGGACGTAAGCGATCATTGCTTTCCACTTCCCCTTATCCCTTTCGTCCCTCTGCTACCTCCCCTAGACCACGTTCTGTTTATCCACTAGCTTAAGCTCACTAGGTATGTCACGCGTTGCTTTCTCTTGTCTCTTTTTCCCTCTATTCGACCTGTGAGTATCAGATTCTCTCTAGGTCCTCTTTTCTCATTACGTGTCCCAGAAATTTCAGCTGCCTCTCTAGATGAAGCTTCCTCTCCAAAACCTCAACGTTGCTCACACACTCGGTCCATGATATCCTTAGCATTCTTCAGTAGAACCATCCCTTCGTTACCTCGAGTCTCTTTGAGGAGACTGACCAACATTCGCTGCCGTAAAAGTGGTACAGGAATAAGTTATTGTCTACCGGACCCTTACCCCGTGTTAAAATGTTCCAATAAAAATGTTTCTTGAATTACACCACAGAGTCTGCAACTAACTACATATTTTTTTAAACAAGCAAGACATTTAGAAGTCAATATAACTTCAAAAGTACGTTTTCTGTGGTATTTTTACCACGTTATTGAGAGTGACGATTAAGAAAATAATTTCAGCGTGTTTTTAGAGAGATTTAAGTACATAGGGAAAATATTGGGCTTGTTTGAAATCAGAACTCATGAACCATAATGTTCGACAACGTAAGAAGTTTTCGTTGGATTGTTTTCAACAGAGTTTGCATCTGAAATGAGTGTTGGTTGTTTGATGTTGCTGACCTGACATCAAATCTTTTGCAACAAATGGAATTAATTTCAGCAGGAACAAAGTTTGGCTTAACACCTGACATCTGAGCCAAAGCATATCTTTAAACGGCGGACGAAGCAGTTATAAACGTAAGTAAAAAAAAGAAAAAAGGGGGAAAAAAAAAGAAGTAATTTTATTTATATAGGAAATTTGTATGCGTGGAGAAATTTAAAAGTCTTAAATATTTTATTTTTGTGTAGACAATGAATTGGGTTGCTTAAATGATTTAAATTTCTATTTTTGAATTTCTGGGCTTCTACTGAACTGAAATCATCTTTCTCTCACCTTTTTTTTTTTTTTTAAATTATCAATCTAATTTTTTAAAATATACCAAATAATTTGGTCTAAATTTACCTTAGATATTAAAAAAAAAAATAAACCTTAAAATTTTAAATTTATCATTTTTGTTGTAATTTATATTTTATATTAAAAAAAAAAGTTTAAAATAAGACAATTTTTTAACTAAAAATAATTAATTTTGTTTCGTTTTTTTATTTATATATTTTACCTTTTTCTTTTAAAATAAAATTAGGTTTATGAAAAAAAAAAAAAATAATTAATTTTATAGTGTTTTTTGTTGATTCCTGTATATTTAAAAGAGAATTTTTGCTTCGTTTTTTATTGGAACTCCTTTCAAAAATATTCAGGAGTTAACAGAATTTCTTTAGTTTACCATAAAATTAAAAAAGAAACTAAAAAATGATTTTAAAAATTTAAATTTGAAGACTTAATAAATAGAAAAGGTTCTGATATTTCTTTCTGTCTCTTCTCTTTGCTTTAATTTTCAATCTGTTTCATGTTTTTGTTGTCTTTTCAAGACGAACCACCTGTCAAATCTGTTTCATTTTTTTTTAAATTTCTCGTACTTTAATTTTAGATATTTTTTTAATCATATTTTTTTAAAATTTAAATTCTCTTTAAAATATTTTTGGCATAAGTGAATACCATATTTATTCCTTCTTTCGAAAAAATATCTTAATTTGAGTATCGAGATTTTTGTTTTTTTTACTTTTTTGTTTGAATGTCCTTCGAACGAAATTTTAAAAACTAAATTTAGTTAAAAAAAAAAAAGAAAAGCAGTAAAAAAGTATAAAGTATATTTAATTTATTTAAAAAAAAAAACATGAACAAAAATAATTCAAATTATCGACCACTATCACCTTTCTGTAAAAAATAAATGTTTTTCTTTAATGTTTGTAATTAGTTTTTTTTTTTTTTTTAAATTATGAAGTTTTTATTTTGCAGGATTTTGTTATTACTTTTACAACATTTACAAGTTCTGTTTAGAGACACATTCCGAATTCATATGATGGTGCAATATTTTATTTAAAAAGTAAACATTGTCAATTGTCAACTAGCATTTTTGTAATAAAATAAAATAATAATTGTTTAATTATTTGTTTATTTATTAATTATACTAATAAAAAAAATCCTATGTCGGCTTGACACTGGTTCCAAATTAAACATATTGAAAGACTAAAAAAACAAAAAAACAAACTTATTGCTTAGTTTTGAATTTTGATAGTGTCGCGTGGCTCTGAAAATATGTCAGGATACAGAAAAAATATTGACTCATCATTTGGTGGTGTCATAAACATGCTGTTGGGGCACTTTGGGTGAGTGGTAATGATGTTTATTGTTTAGTTTAGCTCCCGAAACTTTGCCGAACCCCAGATTCACCATCTGATGAAGACTTTCTTGAAATTGATAGCAGGTGTCTAGTTTTCTTTTCAGTGTTTGTCTTTTTTTTACTGTTTTTACTTTGAATGATAATGTAACAAAATTCCATATTATTTTAGTTTTAGTTTAAAATTTAATTAAACGTCAAATAAAAAATTCATACATTTATTTATTTAAAAAAAAAAAACTACTAAAAAATTGAATTAATTTTGTTTTGTTTGATGTTTCGTTTTAAAACGAACTTTCAGCCAGCAGCGATGGCTGCTAAGGCAACTTAATTTTATGCTTTTTAAAAGTTGAAACTCAAACCCGTACGATCATCGAAGTTAAGCAACGTCGAGCCTGGTCACTACCTATGGGTGTACGACGCTATGTGGTGTTATGGCTCGGAATTGTTAATCGGAGAGTCGAGTTCCAATTCCTGTTGGTTTTGGTATTCACTTACGCGCAAATAGGGAAAGAAGGTATGAATCCACCTCTTCTCTCCCAGCTATGGGTTAATTAGTAATAAACTATTATTATCTAAAAAAAATATTTTGTGGCTTTAAATAACCTTCAAAGGGTTGATAAGCCATAGAAAACAAATCTATCAATTTTTAACCAGAACTTTTGGGGGGGGAGTGGGGGTGTAGTGAAATTACAATCGGAAAAAATCATTGGAAAATGTAAGGGTAGAAAAAAAATCTTAGCTTCATCTTGTTGTGGGTAGGTAAAAAAGAAAAGTCATATATAGAAAATAATATTTTCATTTAAATTAGATTTTTGATTCTTCTTCTATGTGACATGTCTCTTCAGGACGTTGGTGATTATGGCTCGCCACAATTTCTTGTCCTTTGTAGCTCTTAATGAATTTTGTCTTTTTATCTTTCCTAAACCTGCCATCCATTTACTCAAGCTCACTAGGTAGGTTATGCACTGTTTTCCCCTCGTCCCTCCTTCTTTCAAGCTGTCCTGTCAGTGTTAAACTTTCCAAACCCTCTTTCCTCATTTATGTGCCCTAGAAATTTCAACAATCTCTTCATGATGTTACGTATAACTATCCTTTTTGTTTCTATTTTCTCTAAAACTTTATCATTGCTCACGCTCTCAGCATCCTTCTGAAGAACCACTTTTCTGTTGCTTCAAGTCTCTTCTTTAACTCTGAGGAGATTGTCCAGTATTCACTGTCAGACAGGTAAACTGATATTACGTAACAGTTCAACACCCTTTTCTTTGTTTTTAACAAAATTTTTCTGTTTTGATTTTTTAATTAATTTTTATTTATTTTAAACTATTAATGCTCACCCCCTGAAATAATATCAAGCTTTTAAATCAATTTAAGTCTATAATTAATACCAGATTTTTTTAATAAGCCTATAATTAATACCACATTTTTTAATAAGCCTATAATTAATACCAGATTTTTTTAATAAGCCTATAATTAATACCAATTTTTTTAATAAGCCTATAATACCAGATTTTTTTAATAAGCCTATAATTAATACCAGATTTTTTTTAATAAGCCTATAATTAATACCAGATTTTTTTTAATAAGCCTATAATTAATACCTGATTTTTTTTTAATAAGCCAATAATTAATACCTGATTTTTTTAATAAGCCTGTAATTATTATGTAATTTTTTTTAAATAAACCTATATACCTGATTTTTTAAAAAATAAACCTATAATTGATACATTATATTTTTAATAAGCCTATAATTAATGTCGGATTTTATTTTTGTACACATTTAGTAATTAATACTGTATTATATACTTTCATTTTAATTATATCAATATTTCCAAAGAATGGATGTATTTTTAATCCAACATTTTTATTACTTCAACTATTATTATAATAGATACTTCATATTTGAAATAGATGCCCCATTTTTATTTATTAAACAATGTGTATTAATTTTTCTTATCCCCCACTTTATCAGAATGGATGTGTGCGAGTTCCAACCTTACCTTGGACTTAACATTTATTTCTGATCCACACTACCACAAACTGATGACCTGAGAAAATTTGAGGGGAAAAAATAACTAAAAAAAAATTGATCAAAGTGAATGTAAATCAAAATTAATAATAAAGAAGTCTATGGTTTATTAGATCAACAGTTAATTGGTTATAAACATCATATTGGATTTTCAACCTTCTGAAAGATCTCAATTAACTGTAGCAAAATTGTCTGTATTTTTTACTTAACATGGTTAACGATCAAATCAAGGCAATACCTATATGTATCTCCTTGCATGAAATAAATGTGAAAATTGAACATTTTAGGATCAATACCTTTCTTAATAAAATAGATTTCTCAAGAGCCACTAGCTTTTAACACTCTTTCTACTACTGATGGCAGCTTCCTTCCAAACTTTTTAAGGTCTTGTGAAAAATCAACATCTTCATTATTTCATTATTTTCCCCTTCTAGCTGCTCTACTTGTGGTACTCATTTCTGTTGCTCTACTTGTGCTACTCATTTCTGTTGCTGCTACTTGTGCTAATCATTTCTGTTGCTGCTACTTGTGCTAATCATTTCTGTTGCTGCTACTTGTGCTAATCATTTCTGTTGCTGCTACTTGTGCTACCCATTTCTGTTGCTCTACTTGTGCTACCCATTTCTGTTGTTCTACTTGTGCTACCCATTTCTGTAGCTGCTACTTGTGCTACCCATTTCTGTAGCTGCTACTTGTGCTACCCATTTCTGTAGCTGCTACTTGTGCTACCCATTTCTGTTGTTCTACTTGTGCTACCCATTTCTGTAGCTGCTACTTGTGCTACCCATTTCTGTTGTTGCTGCTGCTGTTGGAAGTTTTTCAAATGATGTGGATTTTGTTATTTGGTAATACTCTTTGTGATTTTGTAGCACCAGTCTGTTGAACAATTGTCTAAGACCCTCAGAGCTTTTCTTGAAGCCATTTTTAATCATTGATCTGAGAAAACGGTTGTATATAGCTGATCGTTTAGAGATATTTTTGAAGGAGTTGGACACTATATGCATAGCATTCATATGTCTGGACTCAACAAATCTACTTAAACCTTTAGAACTCTGCATTATTAATATTACTTCCCTTCTCACTGCATTCTTTTACAAGGCCTCCCAATTGTAGTATCTTTATTGTTAATTTCACTCAAAGTTGTTTTCTGTTGCCATAGAAGGATATAACAACACAACTATGATATTCAAACACACTATTGATCAGATTCAGTGGCATGATAAACTTTTCATACATAAAGTGATAAAGATTAAAGATGTTTGTCTTGTTTTAACAATTTTTACTTAATTTTTTTTTCTTAATTTTAAAATTTCAGGTTTTATTAATTTTTAAACAATTTTTTTCTGTTTATACTGAGATGAGGTATTGTAATTATTTCCACAATTGTTCTCATTTTTGTTGCCATATTCACAACATTTCGGCTGTTGTATACT